CCGGGAAGCGGGCAGGGAGGCAGCCGGCAAATGGAAGAGGGGATTTTGGCGGGGGGGTAAGGCCTGGACAGCTGGGGAAAGAGCTCATGGATAGAGGACGCTTGGCAGCGTGAACTTCGCGATGGCTGCCCAGTCGAGGTACGGCGTTCAGTAACTTTTGTTGCGGCTGGTGGGTTTCGCTGGGGGCGTTCCGTTGTCCGGTGGTGGTAGCGATGCCCTCGCTCCTTTCCAGGCACGGTTTGCTGTTGATTTTTACACTGTGTTTCAACAGAAGCGTGGCTGGAGACACGTCCTGGATAGATTTTGTTCGTGCATTTTGTTCGCTGAAGTGTCCACTGCCTCCTCTCAGCGTTAACTTTCGTTGAACAGGAAATAGCAAAGACTGAGTTGCTCCCTGTCACATCTCTCCCTGTCCAACAAGTTAATAGCTCTTCGAAACGGATTTTCTTGTCCCTTGTGGACTTGTGTATTATTTGTTTGGGTTTTTTTTTCCCCTGTAACCAGCCTAGCGTAAACAGGTTTCTGTGATTGCTTACAGCGGTATTTTTAAAAGGTAAATGGTTTGTATTTGGTTGGATTTTGGAGCTGGCGGTGTAAAATGGAAGCAGGTTGTGTCTGCTTGTGTGCAGATCTGGATAGGTGGGAGGGTAGAAAATGGTTGTAGAGAAAAGTATGAAAAAGAATGATCCAGTGTAGTTGCTGTGAGGGGAGCTAAATTCAAGAAAATGTACCGATCTTGCTTAAATAGTTTTTAACTAACTGTTTCTAAGGAAACAACTTCTTGCCTGCTCTCGGGGGGGTGGAGGGGGACACCCTGTCTAAAGTAAATTTCACACTCGGCGTGGGGGAGGCAGCTTTTCTTAAGTCATAGTGCTTGATGAAGCAGTACTATTTAAGGTAGCTGTTAAATGCCTTTTAGCTTTTACCATGCTTTAATGGGCATTTCAGAAACGCCGAAGAGGGAAACTCCTATTTTTTGCTCTTCAGTCCCATACCAAACAGCCACCCTGCTCCTCTTTCCTCCAGGCAGGAAAGAAAAAAAACACCCAACTAAAAATGGTGGCATATCCTACACAGAAGTTTGGCACTCGCAGTGTATTTTCACAGTAGTGCTTTTCTGCAGGTTTGAAGCCAAGAGCTGGCTTTAAATTGCAAACTGCAAAAGGACAGAGCCCTGAGGTTTGGGGAGGAAGGACAGGAAGATTGATTGCTTCGTTAACGGCTGAACTCTGTCTCCCAGTGCCTGCTCTCTCTGTGCACGGGGAGACTGGGAGTACTTAACTAAGTGAGGCAAAGGTTTAATTTTTCAGCATCTCTTTTTACTTTGTATGATCACTTATTCGAATGATCTACTAGCTTGCATTATCAGCACATTGCTTTAATAGGCCCGCATGCTAAGAGAGGATACAGTATAAATCTTGGTGCTGCTGGCTGGCCTGGAAGCTTGGCTTGGCTCCAAGGCCAGGGACGTGCTTGGTGTCTCAGAGGTCGCTCAGCCATTTTCTTGGGTGGCAGGAGGACACATGGGAGCCACATCCCAGCAGCAGCCCCCAGCCTCATTGAACTGGCTGAGAAAGAGCAGGGCTGGCACTGGGGTCAGCGAACCACGTCCATAACATGAAAGGTGGATGGCACAGAGAATAGAGTTTTGTACATTGAGTGGTTCAAACCGGAAGTGGGGAAAATGGACCAAGGGCTGTGTCCATGGGGCCGAGTACTGTGGGGAAGGTGAAAGGACTGTGCCCCACACCTACCATTTGAGATGGGCATGGAGATGAGATGTGCACCTGCCATTCTGTACTCTCCTTTCTCTTTCATCGTGCATGCTGCCTTTTGCTTTTGTCAGGATGCTGTGAGGTGCTCAAGCTGCAAAATTGCGTCAGAGCATTTCAGCGCCGTGAGTAAGAAAATAACCTCCGTATGCTTGAAGATCAGTGTTAATGGCTCCGATTATTACCAATTTGAAGACATTTGAAAGAGAGTAGAAGTGAATATGAGCAGCAGAAATGAATCTTTTGCAGGAGAGAGGTTACATTTGCCAGACAGCCTGGTGCTTGTGATATTTCTGTTTTGGTGGCACAGGGGTATCCATCTCGGTCTGAGAGATTTGTGCTTTGTGGATGCATAGATGCTTTTATTCTACAGTGAAGGGTGAATTCATATGCACAGTAAATAATTGGAAACTACGTGGGACTGAGAGGCCACATGTCTCCATAGTTTATTTTCCAAAACATGTCAGAGTGTTTACTCTCCTAGGTAGCTGACAGAAGATGTGGGTGAGCTTTATGTGTTCATTTCTCCTTTGTAAAAAATACAAACAATTTCTGCAAGCTCAGTAAATTACTGGTGAGGAGGTGGTATGATAGAGCACTGTAACATTTTGAGTATCGCTGTGTGTGAGGCTTTCTGGCACTCCTCCACCTGCTTGGGTTTGCTATTTCTCATGTGCTGTATGTTTGAGCTAGTGAAAGGGCTGTGACATTGGGGATGATGCTTGTTTGGTAACAAGAAAATCCTGTATCCTTTCTTCAGCTTCAGTGCTGTGATCCTGGGCAGCTCACCTAGCATTCGGGTTTCACTGTTTTGAAGGGTGAAAGGGTAAGGAAGACAAGGTGATAAAACATGGCCGTTGCTGCTCTTTGTCATTTTAATAACTGTAATAGTGATGACCGAGAAAATGATGTGCTAATGGATGCCATAACTTTTTTTTAAAGTAGTAAGTCTTAAGAAATGATTACAGGTGAGTTGGGTATGTTTTTGTTTCAACTGTTTGAGAATGATCAGCTTCTACCCATGGCTGCTGTAAACAGCTTATATCTAGAGCCATTAGGTGGAGAAACGATCCTCCGGTTTTAAGTCTCTAGCTGAGCCGTAGGTTTGCAGCTGTAGCTTTCTATGCACTCGCTTCTGGAACATGCAGATGATCTGATGCTTGTAGTGTCCCCAGGCAACAGGGCTTGTGTCAGGTTTGTATGGTATATTCGGGAACGTGTGAGCAGAAGCAGAATTGATTTGAATGACCACAAGTTTACTTTCTTGTTAAATATGGTGTAATATTCATCGTGTGCCGTTCAGCCACTCTGAGAAGCAGCAGGACCCATAGAAGGTGTGTGGGACAGGCTGGCACCTGCGTTCACTATCAGCTAATACCAGCGATCAGTGAGGCATGACGATGTGGCTCCATAACTGTGTATCAGACCCCATCTCTCCTCTGCTTCCTTCTTCATTAAAACGTGTGCTCTGCTGCAGCAATCACAAGTTAGGGATCTTTAGGTGAATAACTGCTTTTCTGAAGATGCAGGCTGCTTTTCTCAGGCTGGTTGGGATCATTTTAAATTATCTGTAGACCCTGTCAGTACACTTATTTAAAATTGGTGGATAAATAAATACTTTATTGTTCTGGATGCTAAGAATTTCCAGTTGTCATATAACTTGCCTTTCAAAGTGGTCATGATTAGTATGATTGCAGGTATGCAGAATGAACGCAATTTCCTAATCTTTGTACATTGGTGAATACAGCAGCACAGTCACAGCTACATGAAATCCGAGTGTTGTGCTGCTGTCCCTGCTGGGCTCACCTTTCAGCCTTGCAGGGAAGGGCAATGATGGACAGCAGCCTGGGAAGCCCTCTGTTTCCACCCCTAAAGCCAAGTTGTAGCAGCTAAACCCAGAAGAGTCTTGAAATGAGGCTTGTTTCCGCTAATTTCGGTGGAAAAAGAAGGTGACGCTGTGCAGAAATAAGATGTGGCCATATGTGCATGTAAAACATAGTAAATACAGCAAAACAGTTTCTTCCAGAGGGGATAATGCTGAGGCTTTTCCCTGAGGAGAAGCTATGTTGAATGACGCAGCTTGATTTTGTTCCGTGTCGTTTCACAGTTTTCCAGGCCGGATCTAAAGATGTGTTTCATCACTTGTTTGTTTCACGGGTCCTGTTGATACAGGCAAATGCTGGTATTGGTGATGCTGCATTCCAGTCGGCTGATGCAGGTGAAGAAGGGCTGAAATCATGACTTGTTGGAGTTTACCTGCCTATTGATAGCTAAAATGTCCTGTGAAGCCCTGTTGGCTTTGCTCGTACACTGCTACTAGCCCTGCCTGTAGAAATACAACCCTATTTTCTCCTGAACAAACTATTTGCAAACTATCAGCATTGCCTAGCTGATCCGCAGCGTGTTTTGCAGCCTGCTAGGGGTTTTCCATTCGCAGTTCCTTACTGCCTGGACTTTCCGAGCCTGGTGTCCATTGCTTTGGGGCAAGCCTGCAGCTGCAGCTCCTCTGTAGAGAAGAGATGCTCACAGGGAAGTGGATTTTTCAAGTAGGTTTGTTGGGTTTTTGTTTTGTGGGTGTTTCGTTTGTTTGCTTTTTGACGGTGGGGGTTCCAAGTTGTAACAGGCCCTTGAAAACTTTGAAATACTATTGTAGTGGTATACCTGAGCTGGTGTAGAAGGGAATAATTCCTTAGATCACGCAGCTTTTCTGGGTCTGAATCTATATTGTAAAGATTTGCTAGTTCAACGGCAAGATGCACCAGGAATGGCAGGAGACAAGCTTTTAATGAACTGTACAAATTCTCCTCAGTGCTTTCCAGGTGTAGTCATAGTGAATGATGGCATGAAGCTTTTAAATGCCTTTAAAATATAGTAGAAATAGTAATAGAAAAATAATATAATAATAGAAAAGCTGTCTCGGTAAAGTACATAGGAATGCTGTGAAGACATTGTTCGTTATGAGGTGGCCTGCGGTGAGGTGAGGAAGGTCTGCACCGAGTGCAGGCTGTCTGCCTCGGGTCTGGTTCAGGCACAGGGTGGTCGGGAGCGCAGAGGCTGGTTTACTGCCTACCTCGTGAGCAACATGACAAAGAGTTGCTTTAATGTAAAGATGCCTGAGCCCCCAAAAAAATGGGAAAGTACTCGTCCTGTTCAGGCTTGAACACAACGTGGAGATTTTTTCCATGCAGTTTCCCTGCGGTACAAAAAAGTGCTGGCTGTGTTATGTTCTGCAGTTTTGGCTGCTGCAGTTCATCTGTGTCCCTGATAAAAACGAGAAGACACACGTAGCACTGGCTAGGGTGGAGCAACTGGCTGGGGCAGATATTGCTCCAAAATGCAGTGTTATCATAGGTGGATTAAGATAGA